CGGGAAGTTCAGGGGCAAAACTCAAAACAATAAATCCTCTGGGTTGCTTTGAACTCCTTAAATAGGCATTGGTTATTCTCTTTAAATCCTTTCCACAGAAAATCTGCCTTGCCAACGTGTTCACTTGTCTGAAATGACGCTGACTATTGAAAAGCACAAAATAATGTGCATTTGAGCTCATCATCCTGAACAATGGACAGTTTGGAAATAAGTTCTGCGTTATGAAGAAAGTGGAGATTGAATGGTGATGAGAACCGAGAATGAAGCAGTTCGCCATTTCCTTGTTATCTCCGCTTAAGATCAAGTCATCCACCACAAGGAGACTGGGTTCTGAAGTGTTCATTTTATCAAAATCAAGACCTTGGATAAAAGTAATTGCTTGTTCTTCAGTTTCATTCCATGTTTTCATAAAGTCTTGTTCAATGCTATACATGTAATATATATTTTTAGGCATCGGATGTACTAGCTTTTGTCTTATTACCTCTAGCATGAACTGTGTTTTCCCTGCCCGAGAGGGTCCGAAAATGATGCAGTTGTGGGAAGCAAGGAATTTCACAGGCATGATTTATGTGTTGAAGAGATCTTGCTGGGCTATCCAACTGTTTGCTTCGCTAGGATATCCTAGAAATTTCACAAGGTATTCACTCTGTCCGTTTCTTTTACGAGTGCTAACAATCCTCTCTATTGGCCATATACCATCAGATTTGTCAACCAATTGAATTTCACTGGTGTAAAATGAACCCTTAATTTCCTCGCCTTTATAGTCCGCCAATCCATATGTAACAGGATATGTAGTTTTCACTTTACTTACTTCAAAGATTTCATATGAAAATGTCATTTCATAACCTTTTTGAAAGATACCCTTCTTTCTAGTTATTCTAACAGAGTCGCCCACTTTTAATAATGCTTTGGTGTGCTTTTTCTCCTTTACAACTCTGGGAAAAAGATTCTGCCTAACTTCCCTCTCATTAGCTAGACTTACATTGTTTGGAGCGAATAATGTGGAGCTATGTTTGGTTTTGTTATAACCATCGATAAGATCCTGTAAAATGTCAATCCACCTGTGAGACCCTCGAGCAGTGAAATATCTAAACATTCGAGTTTTTAGAGTTCTGCAAAATCGCTCAATGATTGCAGCTTTTTGTTCACTATAGACACTGTAGTGTTTGATTTTATACTTCTTAAGCAGTTTGAGAAAGGCAGCATTGTAAAACTCAGAACCTTGATCGAATTGAATCTTTTCAGGGGTGTGTAGGCGAAAAAATGGTTTCATAACTCCAACTATTGAGTTTGCACTCTTGTTTTTCATCTTGAAACCCCATGCTTTTTTACTAAAAGTGTCTATGATGACTATTATCCACTTGTATCCATCATTGTCATGTTGGAGACTTGAAAGGTCTACAAGATCCGCTTGATAAAGATATTTTATCCTTTTGGTATAAACTCTTCTGTACAAGGTAGGCTTCCTGGTTGGCTTGTGTAAGGTATAACTGTCTATAGACTTTAGTTTTGTGTTTACTGCTCTCCTGCTCACGCGTTGGTTATCTTGTTGCAATGCACGAAAAAATCGTTCTTGTCCAGCGAAAGATGCTGGAAATTTAGGATTTTCATACAGCTGCTTCAAATCCATTTCAGTTTAGCGTTGTTAGATGAGTATAAATAGAGCTCCTAAAAGCATATCTTAGACATGGCTCTTTTGTGCGATCACTGTCAAAAAACTTTTCCGACAAATGCCTCCTTATACAAGCATAAGTATAGAGAGCATAATAAATCTAGTTTAGTACTAGTTAGTCACAATCATAAGGATATGAATAGCAATCCAAAAAAGAGGGTTTACCCTCCCGATGATCCGAATGCAGTGAGATTGCCTCCAAAAAGGTCTAGGAATAACAACAGACCTAGAAGTGATAAGAAAAAATTACCGACAAAAGATCCACAATATGATGATGGGTTAGTGGACATTGATCAGTATAAAGATCCAGGAGAAAAACCAAAAGATTCTGATCCACGCAAACATCCGAATTATGATTCACAATCAGATGATGGACTAGAAATTGTTGACAGGTATCAGGATCTTGGGGAGAAAGCAAAAGATTCTGATCCTCCAAAGTCTCCAAAAATTAATCCACAAAGTGATGACGGGTTGAAAATAGTTGATGAATACACAGCAGATGATGAAAGCGATGATCAGCTTAGTATTGTTGATAGCTATGATGATGATGGGCAATCCGATGGAGGTTTAACAGTTATTGATGAATATGATGATAGAGATCAGGCTAGAATTAAACCTAGTGTTGATTATAAGAAAAAATATCTGGACTGTCTCGAAGCCCACAAAAAACAGAAATCTAAGTTTTTGAAAAAGATTGATAGAATGGAAGTTTCTCATAAAAACAACCTTGAGCGTAAAAAGAGGGAATATCGAAAGGAGTGCTATGACGAAATTGAGAAAATCAAAAACTTTCATCGACGTCAAATGTCTGATCTTGATGAGTTGATGAAGGGTGAGTGTAGTGATAAGATACAAGCTCTGAGGGCAGCTCACAATGAGCTAATACAGAATATGGCAAATGATCATAAAAGACAATTGGATGAAAATGAAGAAGATTGTGAAAGAAAACTTCGCACATTAAATGATCAAATAAAAGCTATACAGAAAGATGATGAAGATCTGAGTAGTTTATCAAAGGCAATATTTAATTGTACAACTATGGAGGAGATTTTTGAAATTCAAAAACTAATTAAAAACCATCAGTTGGATATCGTGGTGCAGAATCATCTTCCAACCTTGCAGAATCTGTTCCTTAGTTTGTCTTATGGCGTGTTGCCAATATGTCAACCTCAGCGTGAGCAGGTTACCGATGATCAAAGGAGAGTAGTAGAAAAAATCCAGTCTGCCTCAGGTGCTTCAGCCAAGAGAATTCTTAAGGAGAAACACTCTGAAATTGTCAACCTGTTTACCATAATCAAGGATTCGATTAAACTAGCTCGAGATTCGTATAATCGATATGGCATCGTTTCGTAAAGGTATAAAAGCAATGAAATCTAGCACCTCTCAGTCTTTTAAAAAATGAATTTCAATTTTTTATTTAGTGCAGTTTCTGCACTGTCCTTTGTCATCGAATTTCCAGTCAATTCAAACAACACACAGGACTACTTTTTCTTTGAAGGAAATAACCAAACAGCACATCTTTACCGTGAAAACAAAACACTGTTTTTACATTTGAATCACAACCATGGTAAGATGTTCTCATTTTTCAACACAACTATAAAAAGGGGAACTTTTCTGTTTTCCTGGAAAGGATTCAAGGTAGATGGAGTGGATATGCTGCTACAAAGATCTAATGGAGATATTCAACACACTAAATTTGAACACTTTACTTTTGTTTCTCCGATAGTCAGTATTTTAGAAATAAAATCTCCTACCATGCCTGTTTACAATTTGGAAAGAGATGTAAATTACTGGTATTTTTTCCTTTTAACGTTTGCAGCAGGAATTTTACTTGAATCTAAAACAAAGGGGTTTAGCATATTCAAACAACTTATACAGTCATCTGATAACAATTTGTATGTAAGCAGAGAACTTGATTGTAACCAAGCTCTCGGGATGGAAGAGGGTGATTCTTTAACTAAAATATAATAATATTATAACTTCACTTCATATTGTTTTATCGTTGAAGGTACTTTAAAAAAATATTTTTCTTCTTAACTGTACAAGTTTCATTAATAAAACAGTATTATAATTTACAATAGGGAAATCCAATCTGTCACAACAAAATAGCTGATGCTGTAAATTATCAAGTTTTAAGTCTGATATTGATGTTCAATATTCTGTTTCTAAATCAAAATATTTCATGAAAGTTATTTTATTGTTTTACTGTCTCGGGAGAGTTATTTATAAATTTTCTTAACTTATTACCTTATAGCTCTATAATAAGGACTGATGTTAACCTCCGGAGATATTTATAAGTTAGCAGACCGTGAACTAAGAGAGAGGTTAAGATAATATAGCACCCAACCTGGACCTATAACTGGCATTATCAAGAATGTTTTCGAGATGCAACTCTTGAACCTTAGTAGCAATGTATGATCTTCTGGATCAGGGTAAAGTCCAAGTTGAAAACTAACCCGAGTCATGATTGCATCTGTATGGATACTAAGGATGACAGATCGAAACCTGTTGATCGGGTAAAGGAATTATACAGTTTTGATGAGTTGCAGTTGAAATATCTCATCGATCAAATTGAATAGATTAAAATTGATGATGATTCTGTTGACCTACGAGACATCGGAAACACGAAGTGTGACTATGTACGAACTGTAAATTCGAGTGGTGGATCTACATATATAATTTCATACAAAAAGAACTTTGAAAGCTATTACTTTCAATGGGTAATATCTATCTTACAAACACATGTATCATGCTCTGAACGATTCTTGAACACCCAAATAAATTATTCGTTATATTATAAACCTGGGGAACTGTACACAATTTAGAACTGAACGTACTCAAATTACCCACAGCACTTGCGGAACGGCGACCGCTACTGGTTTAATTAAGTGACGAGAACTTTACTTATATCATACCAAACAAGTGACGAGGACTTTACTTATATTATATCTACTGTTACAGTGTGTCACTTGTCACGTGTCGCAGTGTGTCACTTGTCACGTGTTACAGTGTGTCACTTGTCACGTGTCGCAGTGTGTCACAGCGTGTCACAGTGTGTCACAGTGTGTCACAGTGTGTCACTTGTCACAGTGTGTCAATTGTCACGTGTCACAGTGTGTCACAGTGTGTCACTTGTCACAGTGTGTCACTTGTCACGTGTTACAGTGTGTCACTTGTCACTTGTCACAGTGTGTCACTTGTCACGTGTTACAGTGTGTCACTTGTCACGTGTCGCAGTGTGTCACAGCGTGTCACAGTGTGTCACAGTGTGTCACAGTGTGTCACTTGTCACAGTGTGTCACTTGTCACAGTGTCAAATATCAACCAGGGTCGAACTGGGCGCAGAACATGATAAAACACATAAAGGGAGTAGCCCAGGAGGAGATAATAATAAACCTAGTGAAATGGTTTGAAGGACACACCAACACACAACTTGAACAGCTGGATTCTCCAAGAATATTCAAATCTCAGTAAGTTGTGGTGCGATATAATTCATAAAGTACATTAAATTTGTACATAATTTTATTTTATCTCAATCTCAGACTTCTCAAATAGGCTATAGTCTATATAAAGGTTAGCAAATGCCGCCACAGATCTGACATACATCTCATATTTCTATTCAAGGTAGTTAATTGACATCCCAATTAGTGAATTAACAACTATCATCTAATTATTTCAGTCTGCGTTGTAGTAAGCTACCAAAACAACCCAAGACGATCTACATAGCACGGAACCCATTTGATAACTGTGTAGCCAACTTTGAGATCGTCAAAGGATATTGCACATTTGGAGCTGAAGGTTTCTGACAAGATAAAGAATTCTTTGCATTTTTTAGCCCGAACTCCATACGATGACATGTTATGCGTGCAATGTGCATCACAGTACCTTACAACTTGTGTCATGTCCATGTGGCCGCTTTTGAACATTTATATTATTGTAAACTATTCGTCAACTAAATAGTGAAATTGTAACTAAGTTACTTCTCATTTATTGAAGTTTCCATTGAAACAATAGCAATACTGTGGTGTCATGGTAACTCTACCAAATAAGGTAGTGTCGTCATGGTAACACAACCAAATAAGGTAGTGTCGTCATGGTAACACAACCAAATAAGGTAGTGTCGTCATGGTAACACAACCAAATAAGGTAGTGTCGTCATGGTAACACAACCAAATAAGGTAGTGTCGTCATGGTAACACTACCAAATAAGGTAGTGTCGTCATGGTAACACTACCAAATAAGGTAGTGTCGTCATGGTAACACAACCAAATAAGGTAGTGTCGTCATGGTAACACTAACACTAATGCACCCCAGATATGAGCTGGGAGAAATATCTAAATCTCTATCTGGAGGGAGACATACTGTTCGGTAGCTGGTTTGATCACGTGACACAGGGCTGGAACAAGGCACAGAGCGATCCTAACACTCTCTTTTTGAGGTGAAGTTGTGTAATATCATTATGGTAGTATTGCCATGGTAACTGACCCGCTCTGTTTTTAAAGTACTACCTCACTGATGGCTCTAAGTTTCAAGTCAAATTGTAGTTTGGAGTTGTAATTGTAACGGAGTTGTCTAACTAAGTGCATTAGTAGCAGGGGGGGGGGGGGGGGGGGGGCTAACTAACGTGTTCTATTTCTGAGAATGTACTTGGTTTCTGTAATAAAACCAATTAAGCGTGGTTTGGGTGGGACTGAGGGGCCGGGGTAGAACACTTAATTTATTAGAAACTAATCTATTAATCTAGTGAAACGTCTGATACAATTTTGATGCACAGGATCAAAATAGAATTTAAAACCTAAAATTGGTAATAAAACAACCCTATTTCAGATACAAAGACATGAAAGCAGACGAAACCGGAACCGTTCAAAAGATAGCTTCCTTCCTCGACATCCCCATCTCAAAGGAACGAGCAGCGGAAATAGCAGAGCTCACCACATTTAACAAGATGAAGAAAGACCCTACAGCTAACTTTCAGTGGAACAAGTTCTTGTGTAATGAGGGGTTTGACTTTATCAGGAAGGGAGTAGTGGGAGACTACTTAAACTACTTTACAGAGAAACAGATGGAGATTGTGCGCGGGAAGTTAAGAGAGATTTCTAAATCGGGGGTGTCCTGTTTTGATGAGTTTCTCAGTGAATAGAATAGTTTTTTAAAAGGATATTTGTTAGATTTATAATTGTTTGTTGATAATTTGGTTTTGGTCTCCATCACATTCTTTGATATATTGTTCACTGTTCAGTATATATATTATTGCAGTCAGTTTGTTGTCTGATATTAATCTGTTTTTTCCTTTGCATAAAGTTTTCGTATTTTCACTGAAAACAACTTCAGTAAAAAAAAACTAAGTAAGATAAGAACTTGAAATATTTATTGCACACAATAACGTACTAAAATAACTACAACCTGTTACATACCTAACACAAAGTAACATACCTAAAACAAAGTAACATACCTTAAACAAAGTAACATACCTAAACAAAGTAACATACCTAAACAAAGTAACATACCTAAACAAAGTAACATACCTAAACAAAGTGACATACCTAAACAAAGTAACATACCTAAACAAAGTAACATACCTAAACAAAGTAACATACCTAAACAAAGTAACATACCTAAACAAAGTAACATACCTAAACAAAGTAACATACCTAAACAAAGTAACATACCTAAACAAAGTAACATACCTAAACAAAGTAACATACCTAAACAAAGTAACATACCTAAACAAAGTGACATACCTAAACAAAGTAACATACCTAAACAAAGTAACATACCTAAACAAAGTAACATACCTAAACAAAGTAACATACCTAACAAAGTAACATACCTAAACAAAGTAACATACCTAAACAAAGTAACATACCTAAACAAAGTAACATACCTAAACAAAGTAATATACCTAAAACAAAGTAACATACCTAAAACAAAGTAACATACCTAAACAAAGTAACATACCTAAACAAAGTAACATACCTAAACAAAGTAACATACCTATACAAAGTAACATACCTAAACAAAGTAACATACCTAAACAAAGTAACATACCTATACAAAGTAACATACCTAAACAAAGTAACATACCTAAACAAAGTAACATACCTAAACAAAGTAACATACCTAAACAAAGTAACATACCTAAACAAAGTAACATACCTAAACAAAGTAACATACCTAAACAAAGTAACATACCTAACAAAGTAACATACCTGTACGCCGAGCTTGTTTTCCGTCCATACCGTCCAGATGATGAGAAGCAGCGTGTAACACAGCAACAAGAAACCAAACCCACCGAGGTATATTAGCCTGTAATTATGTCACATGTTACAGTGTGTCACATGTTACAGTATGTGTAAAGAGTACTTCTTTTATACTTATTCTATAATTTAGTAGTATACACTAGTATGAGTACCACTGTGAACATGTGAATATGAGCATATATTACACCCATAGTACACATAGTATGGTAGGACACGTTTTTTTTTAAGTGTGGTGAGTTGCTGATTTCACCTTTTTCAAAGTAGAGTGCACAAAATGAGGAAAAACTCGCAATGCTTTTTAAAGTGCAAACATACATTTGTACATAGGATGAAGTGAAAATATTCAGCAGTTGTGATTTGAAAAAACGAAGTGCCAGGCTCAAGCAGAATATGACTTATGAGCAATTAAACTGAGTGCCAAAAATCAGCAAACCATTTTAACCTCCAATTGACTAATTCCATTGATTTTGCCATATTTTGCTAAAATATTGTTCACATAACACTAGTAGATTGGAGCGAGTAACTGTTTTCAGCATTTTAGTCATTATTAGCAATTCCAGTAAGTGACAGAATCCAGCAAAAAGTCATTTTTATATCTGAATACGACTACTCTATTGATGGTTCTTGTCAAAATATTAAAAAGATCAAGGCGTGACTGTGCTATTTTCTGGATAAGATAATGTTTGGTTGTGTCTTTAAACTTATTCTTACATGTCTATGTGCGAGCCATCAGCAAAAAGTCACACATGTATCAGCTTGAAATTTATCTTTTTTTAATTGATGAAATAAGTATCGAAATTTCAGTTCTCTTTTTCAGTCACCTTATTGACTTTTAGACTGAAGGTGCCATTAATCAGTTAAAAGACGGCTTGAACTCTGTACTGCTTACACTCAATTATGTCCCGAGTGCCCAAATTCAGCATATCAGTCATATAGATAAATGATGTAAAAAGACAAAAATTGTCCATTTCTTGATCCATGGGTGTACAAGTGTTAGTTTAAGCATCTATTTCGAAAAGTAATGTGTTCATAAAGGGGTCAAAAACAGATAATAATATTAGAGTACCACTAATCAGCTGTAGTGACTGCTGCAGCCAGCGTGGGAATTACCAACTATTGGAAGTCAATATCAGCATTATCAATCATCTCAAACCACCAAATTGTTTATGTTGCAGATATAAATCTTAGTTTAGTTACATCCTGAAAATTTGAAGAGCATATGTGTCCTGGAAATCAGTAAAAAGTGACTTATTTGACAGAAATAGTCATTCTTACTGCTAAATGGCACTCCTTTTAGTTCAGAATATTGTTTGAGAGAACGTTGTGCCTTTTTGTTTAATGTGGCACAATTTTGTTGCACTGTGTGTCATTATTCAGCTTAAAATGACTTATTTTTCTAGGCATATACCAATGGTAAATCACATAAAATTTGTGCTTTGTAAGCAGTGTTGTGATAACCTGCTATAACTAACTTAAAACTGGCACAATGAACTTCAAACATCAATAGTATGTCCCAAATTTCCATGATGAACATGATATTGTTGTCAGAAATCTACTTTATCGTGCCAATATTCAGCAAAAAGTCATTTCTATGAAGATTTTAAGCTAAAAATATTATTTATAAAATGACTTTTTGCTGAATTAGAACACACAATATCGTTAGATTTTGTAAAGAATCATCTTAATGAACCTGCTTATGCTGTCAGACATCAATTGTATAGTGCCAATATTCAGCAAAGAGTCATTTCTTTCTAATTTTTAATCGTGATGAATTTGACCTAAAAATGACTTTTTACTGAAAACTGACACACTCTTAAGTTGATTTTCGGACAGAATGCTGTTGAGCAGACTTAATCTCGACAGTATGATTGAAAAACGTTCTAATTTTTTGCTTTCTAGCTACTGCAATGTAAAAAAACTCAATTGTAATTTTGTGAGTGAATTTTTACTGAATACAGGCACACAATAGGTTTTTCCTAGGTTACATTATTACAGACCAACGTTTCTTGAAAGTTGTTACAGTTCATTCACAAGCTGATCGAAAGTATGGGCCTTGTACAACCCCTTCAACCAAACTAGAAATTTGACCAAACAAATGACTTTTTGCTTATTTTGAGCACAGTTCAAGTATTCCTACCCCAATCCAAATATTCTTTGAATAATTCTGAGACATAATCTGAATTTTGAACAGAAAAGTCGCAAAATTCAGTTTTTTACGGGCTTTTTAAACATAATAGTCCAAAATGCTGAAAACTGGCACTACCTTGGTACTATATTATGACATATTAACTAACTAATTGATTTTCCTTACAGGGGCAGTTAAGATTGAAGGCATTTCTGTGCAACACTTTCTAGTTACTAGTCATTTTACTTTCATTGTCAAAAGTGTCATGGCACTCAAAGTCATTTTCACCACACTTAAAAAAAAACGTGTCCGGTAGATATATTACACCCATGCGAACTTAAAGGTACATTTATCTTACAACTAAAGTGTCCAGTGTTGCCATGGTAACATGTTCACACCAGTGTTGCCATGGTAACATGTTCACACCAGTGTAGCCATGGTAACATGTCCACACCAGTGTAGCCATGGTAACATGTTCACACCAGTGTTACCATGGTAACATGTTCACACCAGTGTTGCCATGGTAACATGTTCACACCAGTGTTGCCATGGTAACATGTTCACACCAGTGTTTCCATGGTAACATGTTCACACCAGTGTTGCCATGGTAACATGTTCACACCAGTGTTGTCATGGTAACATGTTCACACCAGTGTTGCCATGGTAACATGTTCACACCAGTGTTGCCATGGTAACATGTCCACACCAGTGTTGCCATGGTAACATGTTCACACCAGTGTTGCCATGGTAACATGTCCACACCAGTGTTGCCATGGTAACATGTTCACACCAGTGTTGCCATGGTAACATGTTCACACCAGTGTTGCCATGGTAACATGTTCACATCAGTGTTGTCATGGTAACAAGTTCACACCAGTGTTGCCATGGTAACATGTTCACACCAGTGTTGCCATGGTAACATGTTCATACCAGTGTTGCCATGGTAACATGTTCACACCAGTGTTGCCATGGTAACATGTCCACACCAGTGTTGCCATGGTAACATGTTCACACCAGTGTTGCCATGGTAACATGGCAACACCAGTGTTGCCATGGTAACATGGTCACACCAGTGCCATGGTAACATGTTCACACAAATATTACCTGACTAGACTCGTTCTCAGCAGTAAAGGTCCAATCGTAGTGAGCTAGAAGACAGTAGTCAATTAGTAGACATATGTATCCAGCAAACGTCATCACGTTAGGAGCCACCCACGTCGGGAAAAACTGGGGTGTGTTGATATTACCTTATATGGTAGTATTGCCATGAGCAGGGTTGCCGGCATTTTTGAGAGTCATTTTTAAGGTTTTTTCACGTCTTCTAAGGCCCCTTTTGACCCATTTTTAAGGTCCAAAACAGTTAAATTCAAGGTTTTTTAAAGTCCACAGTGCGAAAGTTTGGACAAACGTAATGCAATAAAGGTGCAAATTTAAGGTTTTCCGATACAGAAATTGCAATCATATCTAAAGGGGGAAGGTATAATTTCAGAAAACCCCAATTAGATCTACAACAAGCTAGGTATAATTTCAGAAAAACCCAATTAGATCTACAACAAGCTAGGTATAATTTCAGAAAAACCCAATTAGATCTACACCGAGCTAGGTATAATTTCAGAAAAACCCAATTAGATCTACAACAAGCTAGGTATAATTTCAGAAAAACCCAATTAGATCTACAACAAGCTAGGTATAATTTCAGAAAAACCCAATTAGATCTACAACAAGCTAGGTATAATTTCAGAAAAACCCAATTAGATCTACAACAAGCTAGGTATAATTTCAGAAAAACCCAATTAGATCTACACCGAGCTAGGTATAATTTCAGAACATCCAATCAGATCTACACCGAGCTAGTTATAATTTCAGAAAATCTTATCAGGTCTACACAGAGCTAGGTATAATTTCAGAATATCCAATCAGATCTACACCGAGCTAGGTATAAATTCAGAAAATCTTATCAGATCTACATCAAGCTAGGTATAATTTCAAAAATTTTTACTAATCCGGAAAATCCATTTAGATCTAACATCAAGCTAGGTATAATTTAGGTATGGAACCTTAAAAAACCTTAAAAACCCGAAAATTTGCCCGTTTTCACGTCTTTTTTAAGGTTTTTTGCCCAAAATTGCCGTTTTTAAGGTTTTAAAGGTTTTTTAAGGTTTTTAAGGTCCCCTGGCAACCCTGGCCATGAGTGGTGTGTTAATATTACCTTATATAGTAGTATTGCAATGGTACTTATATTATATCGACCCTAGTCGAGGTATTCCCAATGTTGGGACAAGTTTAAAAAACACGACACAGTATGTAACTAAATCTAAAATTCAGAACGACATTTACAACGGACATCAACTTTAATTATTATATTATAAATCAAGAGGCTTGCATATAATGAACATATTGACACGGGTGCTATGTGACATTTCGAACATAATCCTGAATAGCATTTACAACTTTACAATACTTGAGGCACTTTACTTTTAATGGACTCATAGACTCACAGGTTTCAATACTCAATATTTTAAGTTATTGGAAATCATGACAACACCATTATTACACCCTTATACACATGACCTTATCAGACAATCGAGGAGATTTTGAAATCTGATGTTTCACTTACTACAAAGTGAAAGCTTAGAGCTGATGTTTCACTTACTACAAAGTGAAAGCTTAGAGCTGATGTTTCACTTACTACAAAGTGAAATCTTAGAGCTGATGTTTCACTTACTACAAAGTGAAAGCTTAGAGCTGATTGATCGATAGAACATGACGTCATTTTTGTGTGGTATTAGAATATTTAGCGGTGGCTTATAAATAACGACAAATGTACACTTCTAAAGTTATTATATCATCGTCCACAATATAATGCGAGTAATCATACACTGTTACCATGGTAACACTGATATTATCACAATATAATGCGAGTAATCATATTTATTTAAAGAATATTTCTAATGTTATCATACTATGATGTATGCAGCACTTAAGCAAATTAATCAGTGTCACTGTTTCCAATGCTTCAGAAACTAAGCAATGACAACAGTAAACTAAGGTAAAGTTGGAGGACACTTTGTTGCGGCGGTGTGTACCATAATATAGGTTATTTTATAATTAATTAACTAATTTAAATAACTTTTAAATTTATTTATTAATGACAGGAACATGAACTAGGAAAGTAAGTTTATCAGATCCAATTTGTATGAGCTTATCAGAACGCATCCTGCTGATGTAACTTATTATTGGACACATTTTATCCTCAAAACCAAAACCCCATCCGGTCGCCTCTGGGCAGGAGTTACCATGGTAACACTGGGCAGGAGTCCTAAATTCCTAGGCTAACGGAGTTCAGCATTAAAACTCCCCGCTTATCAAGGAATATTTAAAGAATACTTCTGATGTCATCATGCTATGATGAGTTCAGTTTGCTGCTACCGCGTTATAGTTAGCCTTTGCGTGTGTACTTGTACATTCCTATACAAGTACATTATGGAGGATGATCGTAAGGTGACCCAATCTCTGGACCAAATTCAAGGATTAGAGTATGATGAACAGACAAAATTGAAGGACAGTGTTACTAAGTGGTTTATTACGCTGGGAAAAGAACTGAAAATCGACGACAGAGATATTTGTGGAGATATGGACAGAGAAATATTTATGGCTCCAACTGTCTATAAAAAGCATCTGGCACTTCGGCTTGTGGAAGCAATAGACCTCGTTCAACGGCATGAATGCCAGATGGGTAAAATGGAGGAGATCATATATTTCTTGAAGACGGAAGCGTTAGAAGATAAGGATAAGTTGATCAGGCTGCAGGGCCAGCTGCTTGTGCAGAAGGACAAAGAACTAGAGTTGTTTAAGACGTCGGTTAAGAAGACAGTGCAAACAACGGTGGAGTCAGGGATTAAGAGCTACAGTGCAACTGTACAACAGAACAGTGCAATTAGTGGTACGGTCTGCAACAGTAACATCCTGAAGAAGGTGATGAAGAGTGTGGCTGCAGAGGAGGACAGGAGCAAGAACCTGATCGTGTTTGGGTTGAAAGAAGAAGAGGGAGAACAGCTTCCAGCGCTAGTAACCGCAGTTCTGGAGGAGATTGGGGAGAAACCTCACTTCGAAGCGACTAGAGTCGGCAGGAAGAGGCCAGGTAGTACGACTATCCGACCAGTAAAGATCACTGTCCCAAGCTCTACAGCGGTTCAACAGATTCTGACGAAAACAGGAAGACTGAGGCTAGTTGAGACCCACAAAAGTGTATGGATCTGTCCAGACAGATCTAGCGAAGAACGAGCAACGAGGAAACATCTGGTTACCGACCTGAAGAAGAAGAGGGTTGAACAGACTCATCTCGACCACTATATCCGGTACGGGAAAGTCTGTAGCCGTGATAAGAAACCACCGTGAAGCAGTTCATGTCTCTCGGACACTGATCAGTATTTGAATGAGTATTGTGTATCTTAATAGTTTTCGGACGTTATCTGTATTTGAGAGACAATTTTATAATTTATATACGAGCTATTTCTTGATTGTTTCACACTTCATATTTCATAATTTGTTTCACACTTCATATTTCATAATTTTATTACTAGGTGGAGGTGACGTTATTGAGACTTTGGGCGGCCATAAACCTCGTGTTTTAAAAGTTGTCCTCTGAACTTGTTTCACTGACCCACGCTTTATAGCATTTATACATTTCGGCCCATTTTATATGTTTGTTCGATTTGCTGTACATTTGTATATTTGCTATTTTGTAAAAGTTTCAAATCAATCAAATCATGTATGGAGCACTCAAGTAGATTTATCAGTGTCACTGTTTCCACTGCTTCAGATACTAAGCAATGACAACAGTAAACTAAGGTTAAGTTGGAGGACACTTTGTCATATATTGCTACCTCGATAGTATGCCAAGTATGGTGTTTCTGTTTGTACTGTTATTAACTTTGGTCGGAGTGGGTATGACACAAGATGTGGGAGCCAACACAGACAAGGCAGAGTATATTACTACAGAGCTTAGTATTTGCCCAGGGGGGCAACTTTTTTTGCCTCATTCCGCATATCCTAGCCTGTTAAACTGCAATGTAACTGCACGAAATAGAAATATAAAGTTTATCTGTGCACGGCCGCCCCAGGTGCCTACTAGACACCTGGCCACGCTAACTGGGAAAACAAATTAGAATACTTAATTGTGATCATGGAAAACCTGGAAGCCATTATCTTCCCCTGAGTGGTAGTGATTTAGTTGCAGTTTCACAACTAACTATTTTAATACAAATTCTGTTACGGGTATTTGTAGCCATTATCTCACATATCAAAGAGAATTCTTCAGTTAGTTGTGAAACTGCATGGTAAAATTATTTCGTATTATATCTGTAGTCACCACACTTAGATCAGGGATTTTCTATGTCTACTCATCAAAATATTGTTATCAGCTGATAACATAGGATAGTCGTGTATAATTTGACTTTTATCTCGCTAATAATCCTCTCCCGACCCAGCAAAATACATTTAAATAACTGTAAAAAAGTAGTACACAAAATACATAATAAATCCTAACCTCCTCATGACGAGGATAAAACAGTCTCATAGTCACGTGATAGTGCTGGATTAATGATTACTAGCAGGAACCCGTATAACCCTAAAGTGGTGTCAAGACTCAAGAGACTGAAATAATTATGACCTATTGAAATCGCGTTTTTGACACCACTTGGGGGTCCAAATTTTGGGCTCTAAAATCCCTATTCCTTGGCCAATTTTTTATTTTTTCATGCTGATTTGAAAAGCATGAAAGTATTTGACCCAGTCAAAAAGTTTCAATTGTATATCTTTTACGGTTTTTGCGGAAAGTCACATTCAAGTTGATGCCGTGGTGTCAGTAAAATGGCACGGATCCATCCATAAATATTACGTGCCTCAGAACTGTGTCAGTACTTGGGGGTGGTATAATTAGCCAGCATTTTGGCACTCGGTTGCGTGTTTATTTTTTCCTTGCCAATTTGACAATTTTTAACGCCGTCTTAGAAATCCTTAGTTTTAATACACGCTAAATAATACAATTTTACATTGTCTCCGTTAACAAGTTGTCTTTGTTGAAATTTATTTTGTAATGAAAGCGGGTAATTTACCTGCTTTCATTAAAAATAAATTTCACCCGCTGGGTAAATAATATTCTTTTTTAACGAAACATTCTTGTAATGATCAGGTTACATTCTGTCGAATATGCAAACGGACAACAA